ATAAAAAGTTGTGCTTAATGTGTCTGACCCCTACATAAAGTTGTGCAGTCGCTGCATCCTTACTTGTCCTGTTCTGAAACGTCTGGATGTCTGTTAAATTGAATTTGAAAAACAAACTTTTGTCTACTTTCACCCTTTTGAACTTACAGTGAAGCAACAAATGTGCTTCAACTTCACGAAGTAACTTATTTCAGTTTTTAAAAAACAAACTAAAAACTTTAACTGTCAGGATTTCGAGGCGCACCTGAAGGCACCAAAAGTCTCGCTCTGTCGGTAGAGTTCAGCCCGGTGCAGAGAGGCTGTAGTCGGTCTCTGGGAGCGCTCCTCTCCACCCATGACCAACTGAACGCCCCACTGCTCCGACGCACATCTCCAGGGGCGGAGAAGAGTCCGCGAGTTTGACTTTCAGAGCAACATGGGATTCGAGTTGGACCGCTTCAAGGGCACCGTGGACCCGGACTTCAAATGCAACTTGTGCAACAAAGTCCTGGAGGACCCGCTGACGACTCCGTGCGGCCACGTCTTCTGCTCCGGCTGCGTGCTGCCCTGGGTCGTCCAGCAGAGCAGCTGCCCCGTCAAGTGCCAGCGCATCTCCGCCAAGGAGCTGAACCACGTCCTGCCGCTGAAGAACCTCATCCTGAAGCTGGAGATCAAATGCGACAACCACGCGCGGGGCTGCGACGCGGTGGTGAAGCTGCAGCACCTGGCCGAGCACGCCGAGGTGTGCGCCTTCGGCCCGGCCAAGTGCAGGAACAAAGGATGCGACGCGGTGCTCAGCCTGCGGGACGTGGACGCTCACATGCGGGACGCGTGCGAGCACCGGGCGGCCGGGCTCTGCGAGGGCGGCTGCGGGCTGACGCTCACGCACCGGGAGCAGAAGTTAAAGAGCCACTGTTGCGTGAGAGCCCTGAAGGCGCACAACGGCGCGCTGCAGTGCAAACTCCTCATCCTGGACCGGGAGTTGAAGAAGCAGGCGATCGAAGCCAACAAGAGGGAGAAGTCKCTCCTGGCCCAGCTCTCCTCCGTGCACGGCGAGCTGCAGATGACAGCGCTCAAGTACCAGAAGAAATTCACCGAATACAGCGAGAGGATCGACTCCCTGACACAGACCGTGACCTCCTCCTGCCAGGTAAAACTTTCCCTCTCATCTCTGGCACAGAAAGCTTGTTGATGACTGAATCAGACGCACACAGATATGTTTTCTGTTTGTGGAGAAAAGTTAAACCCAACTATTGGACCACCTTTAATAGGTTATAAAATATGTCTGTCAGCATGTGAGCTGGCTTCCTGGGTCTTTGTCACTTTTATTGGACCTCCATGTTGAAAGTGTTTCTACTTTTCTGTTCTTCTCCAAAATAGGAAATAAAAACCTTTCTAAGTTTTTGTTCCTGCAGCCAGTTTTTTGGAGGGGTGGAGGAAAGAAGAAGTTTTTTTTTTCTCTCTTGGCTGTCTGCTTTGTGACATGGATGTCAGCTGTGCCTCTGACCAGCTGGCAGCCAATGGGGGAGGGCCAAATATTTACTGCACTTCTGTACACAACTAGAGTCAGGTTCCAGTTAAAAAGTCTCCTCACAACTTGTTGTTTAGGTTTTCTGGCACTGAGTGTTCACCCTCTAACCTGACAGGGCTGGGTCCAGTCAGGGGTTTGACAGAGGATGAAAGGAGAGAGAGAGGTACCGAAAGGCCTTTTAGAGATGCTGGGAGACTAAAGTGTGACATTAATTCCCAAACTAGGTGGAAAGTTGTTGAGCTCCAGCTTTTTGTTCAATGTGTTGATGAGGACGAGGTCTGAGAGCATCGAACGCTTTACACCGGGAAATATTAAAGAGGTGAAGTGAGGTTTTGTAGAAAAGTTATGAAGCGCTAACRTCTTACCTGTTGTACATAGCTCTTTAAACAGGAAACAGCTACTTTGCATGTTACTCATCAAGTTGCTGCAAGCTTTCCAATGAGTGYGAGTGAGTTAAAGCCACAAATCTTGCTTAGCTGAGCCATGAGAGGTCGAGTGGTTAAAGCCTTTCCTCTGCCTACATCCCCCAGAATGCTGTGCAGCTCTGGATCTGAGTTCAGTCAAATGATAAACATTCTGTCAGAMATATTTTTTTATTTATATCCATCACATGTCTATTGCAATAGATATTATTGTTTTATCACCCAGCCCTACTCACCTTTTTAAAGTTTTCACTTTGTAAGCTTTTCAAAATTAATTAAGAGAAAGCAACAATGAGATGCACAGTGTTCCTTTCCCTTTTCCTTTTCCTAGTCCACCCAAGCTAAGATTGATTGATTGATTGATTGATTGATTGATTGATTGATTGATTGATTGATTGATTGATTGATTGATTGATTGATTGTTATTTTACAGAGCACAATGAAATTACATTTAAGATCACTCAAGAAGACACACATGACAAAAACATGGGGGAACAGATGATCAGGTCATGTGGCAACCAGCAGGGGTTRCGCTACCTTTAAAAAGAAAAACTAAATACCACAGAAGGTTAGATGAGGAAAAAAACAAAACAAAATATCATATTATATCAACAAAAGGTGAAACACTATGGTGCTTATAAAAAACCTCTACAAGCAAGAGCACATTTATTAGCCARAGGAGTAAATGAGTTTAGAGGGCGTGTATCTGAAGCCATGACTGTTGTATGCACTTGTGTGAATATCTGAAGAATGAGTCTGAAGAATCCAGTCCTCAAAAGATAAAGCCCAGTTCAGCTATTGTTCAGAATATTGGTGTTGAATTGAAAATTGTTAGCTCTGGAACTAATGCCACATATACATTACTAACAAATGTATGGTGTTAGGTTATACATAACTAATGCTATAGTGCTATATTCATATATGTATTAGCTTGGGGCTAACGCAAAATTTGCTTTGTGGTGTTAATAAAATAAAATGTCCATGTGACAACATATATATTTTTAAAATTTATAAAAGCTAAACAGCCTAGAGTATTTTGAATTACATATTCATCAAATATATCTGTTACAAGTAATCGGGGATCCATTTAAGGTTCGGATTATCAGACTTAGTCAAACTTTTAGCCAAGAAGAGGATGAATTTGTATAGAKTGGGACACAGCTGACAGTGCTGCTTATGGAAAAGTAGATGATTTCAGATCTAATTGTAATGTTGTCCTTTAAAYTTCACATTTCTTAACACCCTTTTATGTTCAGTGTCTGTTTTTYCCCCATTATTTTCTCTCCCTTTTTCTTGATGGTTTCATCTGTTCATTATGGACTCAGTTCCAGCCAAATGCGTTCCAGTAGACTGTTAAATCTTGCCAAATTATGAAATCACTCCTGCTAGCATTAAAAAAAAGCTTTCCGGATCTTTGGAATAATGTGTTACAGTTCATTAGACAGCTGCGTATTATTCCCAGAGGTTACGTTGGTCATTCCTGGTGATCCTTCATAACARCAAAAGAAAATTCCAACTTCAGACACACCTTGAACTCAGGCCTATTATAACACAGGAACTGTTTTAGATGCTCTGCAGACAGGAGAGAGTTGTTGCGGGATTGAAAGGTCAGTCAGTCAGAGAATGATGATGGGATTATCTAAAAAGTTATTATTTTTTCTATTTAGGAAGGCTGTCATTGAATCAAGTCAAGTAGTTTAATGGATTGTATGGTGGGTGATTTGCAGTTTCCCAATCAGATGTCCCCTTTGAGTTGTCAGAAATCTGTCATCACCTATAATGTGTCTTTATTAATCATCCGTTCGGGGTACTCATCATGGTAGGACAAGCCCAGGTTCTGGCATGTGTGGTAACTTTATGTTCCTTTGAAGGCATGCTAGTTAGCCAGCATTCACAGTACCAAGGACCTGTAACAACTAAATGGAGTGCATCAGTTACTGGGTGTGTTTTCACGAAGCAAAACAATGAGTCAGACCAGGGTCTGCAGCCAGATTGTTATGACATTTTTAGTTCTTCAGATCCTTTTATGGTGTGGCGTTATCATATACAAATTTGTATTTCTCTGCTTCAGTAAAGAAACAGCACATCAAACATGAGGAAATAGTTAAGGTGTGGACCGTATACAGATACACCCAGTAACTTGTTGGGAATTTAAGCCTCAAGTTCCTGGTTTACAGAAGCTGCTATGTTATAGTTTTGGAACCTGCTTATGCACACTATGAGGATTTAAGCCCCATTAGCAGCACTCTATTATGGTGCCACCTGGCCTTTTAAAAGCTTGAAAATAACAAATTACAGCTAAACATATTAAAAAGCTGAACAATGACGTGAATCAAGAGTCAACACCTGGAATTATGATTTTGTTTTAGCTTACCCACAATATTGTCCTGTTCATTGTAATAGAGGGAGCAGAACTTGAAACTTATACTGGAACCAGCCAGGGAAGGTTGGTCCCAAAGTTGCTACAACTTTCAGGTTCTCTTCAGAAATCTCTGTATATAAAATCATTTTTGTCTGGGGTGTCAAACTCACTTTTGCCAAGAGCCATGTACAGGGCTGCCACAAACGATTATTTTTATAATCGATTAATCACCGATTATTTTTTCGATTAGTCAACTAATCGGATCAAATGTTAATTGAATATAAAACATACAGCTTATCGTGCCAGAATGCAGCTGCTATTATATAACCATCGTTAGATTTTAGCTATATGCTAGCTAAAAATAATTGCTGTGGAAGGCAAGTTCTGCTCTGCAGATTTGGCACAGGTTTCTCTTTCATTTTCTTAAAATGATCCCACACTTTTGAGCTCCGTTGCTGGGTAGCCATGATACCAGAGCCTGTCTGTATAATGTCTTGTGACGTCCACGGCCTACCCCAGTTACCACTACTGTGCRTGTGTGTCAAGGACAGAAAGGCAGATGTGGCAGTGGAAGGTGTCAAAGCAGTTTGGAGAGAAAAACAAAAAAAACAAAGTAAAGAACAAAAAAAGAAAATGATTAATTGATTATTAAATTAGTCATCGATTATTTTAATAATCGATTAGTCGTCGATTAATCGATCAATCGTGGCAGCCCTAGCCACGTATTATGTATTTGTAATCAACTTTGATGTTCTATGTTTAACTTTACTAAACATGGAACGCAATATTTCTTATTGCTACGGCTATGCACCTCTAACCAACAATAACTGAGCTCTACCTGRTATTTCATGTATAACAACAGTGTTTTAAAGTGTCCACTTATAAACACTGAAAAACTCTAATGCAGAACAACTACTAAAAGTAAAAGTTTAGCCGCCATCTGAATTATTGCACTTTTCGACAGGGAATTTTTACTGCAGGGCCATTCCAGATTAAATTTACGACCTGGAAGTGGGAAATTCCCGTATCCCAACACAAGTGGGCAACAGCAAAAGTAGAAGGTGAAAATGCAGCTAAATTGGTTGATGGCTACTTTTGAACCCTGTGCACGGTGCACCCTTACCCAGTGGCGGGATGCCATCATTTAATAGGCAAAATAATCAACATGCATTATGGGAGATGGAGTTTATGGTCAATGCTTGTGTAAAATATAACATGTTCAGTGTGTAAAGGACAAGGCAACAGAATTAAGACTTGAATGTTAATGTAAAAACTGAACCATACAGACTACCCATTGACTAGGTTAAAAACCTCAGCCATCAGTCGTGGAGCCCCCCAGGCAGGAACATTCGGCATCTTATCAACAACTCTTTCAGGTTCTGGCCACTCCCTAGAGCAGAGGAGCCCAAAGTGGGGCAAACCATTTGATTTGGCCCACCAACAGTTGCCAAAGTTACAAGGTTGTAAGCTGTTATCCAATAGGTAGAAACACAGTGTTTCCATTGGTCAAATGACTATAAAAGGGCTGTAGTGAAGGTAGTTTTCATGGTGCTTACTTTATCTTTGATTTATTAGGATTAAACATGAAACATGAAATGACAACAAGAAATATTTAGATCAGATTTAACCTCACATGTAGATTTTCACACTTTATAAGGCCACAAAAACTCAAATTTTATCAATTTATGAAATGTCCCATGAGCCTTTGCTACTTGAGCGTATGGCAGACTTTCTCCAAATGCACAGACTAAAACAAAAGAGGGCCATTGCACAGCTTAATCGTTAAAAATAAAGGACTTTACTTAAAAAAGTATTTGTATTTCATGTATTATATA